ACGGGCGTGGAGTCGGCGCGCGCCTCGGATTAAAAAAAAGACCGCCCCAGGGGTCCTGGGGCGGTCGGCTCGATGGCTCGGGCTCAGAAGGAAGGGGCCGGGGCCGTCACGCTGCTGGCGACCGGGGCCGCGACGGTCGGGGCGGGAGACCCCGACGAGATCGGCCGAACGCTGACGGCGACAACCCGCCCGCTACGGACGTTCACCACCGTCAGTTGCACCAGCTGCGCCGGTGGGGCGACGAATGTCTGCGCCGTCGTCGGCGAGGCGCCGCCGAAGCCAACGGCCGATTGCAAGAGCTGGACGCCGTGCTCGTTGCTGTAAGCGTTCTGCAAATCGACGCCGCCGGCCCGCAGCAGCACATCGCCGGTTTCCAAGCCCGCCTGAGCCGCCGGGCTGCCCGGTGTGACGCTGGCTACTTGCAAGCCTCGGCCATAAGCCGTGTTGGCGATTTGGAGGCTCATGCCGAAGTAGTAGGCCCGCGGCCCGGCGATCGGCAGGTAACCGGGATTGCCGATCACGGTGGGCGCCGGCTTGTAGCTGGGATAGGAGATTGGCTGGGTGTAGGTCGGAGCGGGTTGCTCCCAGCCTGGGCCGGGCTGGGGGTAAGGGTGCGGCTGCGGATAGGGGTGGGGCTGGGGAGCTGGTTTCCATCCGCAGTGGCCTCCGGCCAGGGCGACCTGGGGGGCGATGACAATGGCGAGGGCGGCGGTCAGCACGGCGAGGCGGGACATCGAAGGCTCCAAGGCAGGAGTGAGAGCGGGAGGGAACCGAACGGATTCGCCAGGCCTTCTGGTCCGGCGTGGCTGCTCCCCTCTCTAAGCTCGTCGCATGCCAGCAACGCGTCTGACGAGTGCTAAGCCAAACGATCACAAATACTTAGAGCAAATACCAAGTCCAGCGACTGATTCGGAACTGCGCACACAGGAAATCAAAACGACTTCCAGCACCACTAGTAAGATGTCTAAATGAATCCGGTGTCTTCTGCGCGAATCTGGTAATGGGATGCGGGCGACGATCGGAGTAGCGTGGTTTCTATGAGCAACACCATGAAGCGTCGCCAGACCGCGGTCTCTCTCCTGGTCTGCGTTGCGTCCGCCCTGACGGCGCCCTCACGGAGCGAAGAGGTCACCCTCGGCCAGAGCGTTGAGGGGCGGCTGCTCACAGCACGTGTCCACGGGCCCGAGGATGCCCCAGAAACGCTTCTAATCGTCGCCAGCATCCATGGGACCGAACCCGCCGGCACGCCCCTTGTGGAGCGTCTGGAGGCCTGGATGAAGGGGCACCCAAAAGAGTGGGGTGGCAAGCGGATCGTTATCGTCCCTGTGGCGAATCCCGACGGCTACGCCAAGCGGGAGCGGTTCAACGTCCACGGAGTCGACCTCAACCGCAACTTCCCCGCCGACAACCGGACCGAGCACACCACGCACGGCGACGCGCCGCTGTCGGAGCCCGAGTCGCGGGCGCTGATGCGGGCCCTGCGGACCTACAACCCGTCGAGGGTGGTGAGCCTGCACCAGCCGATCGACTGCATCGACTACGACGGCCCCGGCGAGGCGCTCGCCCAGGCGATGTCCGACGCCATCGACGGCCGGCTGCCCGTGAAGAAACTCGGCGGCCGCCCCGGCTCGATGGGCTCGTATGTAGGCGAGACGCTCGGCAAGCCAATCATCACCGTCGAGTTCCCGAGACACGCCGAGAAGCGATCAACGGATGAGCTATGGGACGACTACGGCGCGGCGCTCGTGGCCTTCATCCGCGGCGTGCCTGACAATCAACAGGATTGAGCGAACGCGATTGTAGGAGGGGTCTCCAGACCCCGATTACGGTATCTATCCCGAATACGGCATGGTGCGCGTCATCGGCGTCTGGAGACGCCTCCTACAACTGGGCCTCCCACAATTGGGCCTCCAACTGGGCTTCACGGACTCAAGCAGCGGGGCGCAGCACCACGTACATGTTGTCGCCCAAGAGCGGGGCGCTGCGGTGGTCAACCCTGTAGCCCGCTTCTTCGGCCAAGAGGCGGAGCGTTTGCGGCGTGAAGTAGTTGACGTGGTCGGGGAAGCGGAAGCCGCACCAACGCTTGCCGCGGAGGCGACGGTTGAGCGACGCGTAGTTGGGCACCTTGATGATCGCGGCACCGCTTGTTGAAAGCTTTGGCCGTAACGCGACGAGCAGCTCCAGCGGCTTGGTGTCGTGTTCGAGGAAGCTGATCAGCGTCGCCACGTCGATCGAGCGATCGTCAACTTTGTCGAGCCCTTCCAGCGCCGGGGCGGCGATGACTTCGCCCGACCACGGCGAGAAGCGCTCGGTGGCGGCCTTCGCCAATTGGGTCGAGAGTTCGAGCCCGATCGGTTTGACCGTCCGGCCCGAGGCGGTGAAGCGCTCGCAGCAGTCCGCCGCGATCAAGCCGCTGCCGCAACCGACGTCGAGCAGACGCAGCGGCGTCTCTCTCGAACGCTTGGCGACGGCCCGCGCTGCGAGTTGGTAGGCCTGATTGCGGCGCGGCGAGATCACACGGCGGACCCGTTTCACCGCGTCCGAGAGGCGCGAGAAGATCGGCTCCTCGGTCTGCCGTCGCTCACGCTCGGCGACGATCGTCTTCTCCCAGGGGAAGTCGTCGCGCAGTTCGTCGTAGGCCGGCGGGTTCTCCATGTAGATGAAGTCTGTCTCCAGGCAACGCACCAAGCGGAAGCCGTGACGCTCGTAGGGTGTTGGTTCGGTTTCGGTCGGGCGACCGAGGAGGGGGCAGATGGCTGACATCGCAAGGTCCCTGACGAAGCGTGGAGCGGTTGGGCCGGCAAATTAGGGAACCCCTCCCGGGGCGGGAATGCCAGTTGGGTTGAGCAGCCCCTCCGCGACGGGAGATCGGATCGCGCTGCGGAACCGGGGGCTAAGGCCCCGCGGCTGATGACCCGCTGCTAGCAACAGTCAGCCGGCACGCCTTAGCGTCCGGTTCTTAGGCGTTTCAGCCGCGTGGCGCGAGGCGCTCGACCTCCGCAGCGTGCCCGGGGAAGCGCGCCGCTAGCTCCGCTACCTCGGCGGGCGTCGCGACGTGAAAGTCGGCGAAGTCGAAACCCGGCGCCACTAGGCAGCTCAGCAGGGCCCAGCCGGGCCCGGCGCCGTCTTCCAAGCGGCATCCCTGCCAGACGCCCCCCGGCACGACCGCTTGAGGCCGCTGGCCGGTGGCGAAATCGACGCCCAGCGTGATCGGCTCGGCCGGCCCCGTCGGCGGCAGCCGCAGCATCCGCACCGGCGCGCCGCCGTGCCAGAGGAAGACCTCGTCGCTCGGTAGGATGTGCCAGGCGGAGGGCGACGCGGGCGTCACCAGGAAGTAAATTGCAGTGAGGGCGTTGCGCTCGCCGGCGTACTCGGACCCCATCGACCCGGCGGGCAAACGCCGCGGCGACCGGAAGGTCTCACGGTAGAAGCCCCCTTCCTTGGGCAGGGGCTCGAGGCCCAACAGCTCAATGAGTTCGTCCGCCGTCAGTCGGCCGCCGCCGTTATTCACGTCATCACTCGCCATCGCCCTGCTCTCCTTTTCAATCGCATGTCGCTGCGGATTACCAGCCGTCACAACCCGCGATTGAAGCAGGCCGCGCAGCTCCGGGACAGCCGCCACCGCCGCGCGACGGGTCAGTTGCTGGTCGATGGCGCCCGTGAAACGCTGCGCGCCCTCGCTGCCGGTGTGACGCCGATCGAAGCGTTTGTCGATGAAGCCTCTATCGGTGAACGCACCGCCGCGGCATTGGCGGAACTCGAACGACGCGGCGTCACGGTCTTCCCCGTGGCGAGCGACGCGTTCGCCAAACTCGCCTACGGCGACCGCGCCGACGGCGTGGTGCTCGTCGCCGAGCACCCGGTGCGCGGACTGGCCGATCTAACGTTGCCGCCCGCGCCATTGATCGCGGTGATCGAAGCGGTCGAGAAGCCCGGCAACCTCGGCGCGATCCTCCGCACGGCCGACGGCGCGGGCGTGGACGCCGTGATCGTCGCCGACCCGCGCGTCGATCTCTTCAATCCGAATGCAATTCGTTCGAGCGTCGGCGCCGTCTTCCGCAAGGAGATCGCCGTCGCCACGGCCGCCGAGGCGCGGCAGTGGCTTCAAGACCGACGCTTAGCCCTCTTCGCCACACGGCCCGAAGCGACAATCACTTACAGCGACGCCGATTTCACCCAGGGCTGCGCGATCGTCCTGGGCAGCGAAGCCTACGGCCTGTCGCCCGAGTGGGACGCGATCGCCACGGGCGTGTCGCTGCCGATGCTCGGCGTCGCGGACAGCCTCAACGTGTCAGCCGCGGCAGCGGTGCTGCTGTACGAAGCGCGGCGACAACGCGGGGCTCAACGTAAATAGAGTTCGCGCCGTTCGAGCCGCGCCCGTTAGGAAGCGGAGTTCTTGGTGGCGCAGCTCCGCTTCCTAACGGGCGCGGCTCGAACGCAGCGACTGCGTGCACTGTGCTACGACTTCGGCTTCACCGCCGAGTTGATCCGGCGGATGTTCGCCCAGTCGTTCTTGTAGTTCACAGGAACGAAGCGTGACGCGCCCGAGGGGCCGTACTTGCCGGCGACACTGGTGCCTTCCCAGTTGAACTCGAGCAGCGCCCTGGTGATCTGCTCGCGCAACTCGGGCGACAGGTTGTGGGCGTAACCGATCGCTGCGGGCGGGAACCGCTCGGACTCGTAGATCACTTTGAAGTCGGCGTCGGAGACCTCGCCGTCGTCGATCATCTTGGCCAACAGGTCGCTCGCCACCGGGACGGCGTCGTGCTCGCCGGCGATGAGCTCCTTGACGGACGTATCGTGGCTGAACGTGAAGCCCCACTTGTAGTCGCGCTCGGGGAGCAGGTTCTCGTCGTTCATCAGGTAATCGACCGCCGCCTTGCAGCCGGAGTTCGAATCCGGCGTCGTGAAGGCGATCTCTTTGCCCTTGAGGTCCTTCGGCTCGGCCACGCCGTCCTTGCTGCGGGCGAGCAGCTTCATCGTGTAGCCGAACGAACCGTCTTCGCGGCCGAGCGTGCAGATCGGGTGGAAGCCGGCGACCTCGACGGCCATCGGCACCGAGCCCGTGTTAAGTCCGACGATGTGCAACTCGCCCGACGCGAGCGCGGCGATCTGCTCGTTGGTGGACTTGTAGTGCTTGTACTCGACCGGCAGCCCCGTCGCTTCGCCGAGGGCTTTCACGAGGTCGTCCCACGTCGCCGCTTCGGCTTCCGATTCTTCCGCGGGTCCGACGTACGAGAAGACCAGCTTCTCCGGCTTCACGGTGGCGTCGTCGTCGGGGAAGTCGGTCAGCAGGTCGCCGTCGGCGTCCTTGAAGGCGACGGGTTGGGTCGCCTTGATCGACTCCGGCTTGAACTTAAGCAGCTTCTCGAGCATGTCCGCTTCGAACTGCGCCTGCGCCGTCTTCTCGTAGCTGGGCAGCATGTACTGCACGGCCAGCGCCACCGCGATCACTGGCACGAGGACCATCAGCAAACGCGAAACTGAGAACGCATCGGTCGGCTGGGACATCGTGGGGCTCGGACTAGTGCGGGTGGAGAGAGGTGGAGCGGCAGCAGGTGTAGGATATCACCCCCCTCGGGGCGTGCAACTTTGCCGCAAGACCAGTAGTGGTTTGTTGA